AAACAGCCTGGAAAGAGAGGACCTCATTTATCTAAACACATTAAAATGTGGAGCAAACAGACCCCTTCCTGTCCCACTGAACCCTACGTGTAACATGATTTTTCCTGGCCTGTTTCCTAGCAATGGATCCATCTGGAGACCAAGTTGTCTACTCACTGCTTTAGCTGATCAAAAATAGGAATGTTGTAATTAAGTGGCAAGAGGGTTTAGCTGTGCAAAGCAAGTTACCAAGTCAAACTTACCTTTACATTTTTTTTTAATGTTTATTTATTTTTGAGAGAGAGAGAGACAGAGCGTGAGTGGGGGAGGAGCAGAGAGAGAGGGAGACACAGAATCCAAAGCAGGCTCCAAGCTCTGAGCTGTCAGCACAGAGCCTGACACGGGCTCAAACCCACGAACTGTGAGATCATGACCTGAGCCAAAGTCGGACGCTTAACCGACTGAGCCACCCAGGCACCCCCAAACTTACTTTTAAGAGGCCAGCATCCCATAGCCAGCTTTGGGATAGAAACCTATTTGGATAGAAACCTAAATGCACATTACCTGGCGCAGGCTACCCCTGTATGCCTCTTTGATCATATCAAAATGTGTAATTTTACCTCCTGGTCTCTTCCTGCCATGAAAGCAGAAACTGGACTCATTTGGTTTCCTACCGTATGACCTAGAACAGCACCTGGCATTCAGCAGGCACTTAGTGGAAGGTCTGTCTTCTGGCCAACTCCCAGCCGGGAACAGGGCAAATAATGAAGGAAGAAGGGAAAGATTATATCTATCGTAACTTGCAAGGGGGTAGGATGGAAATTAGGTAGAATTACAAAGAGGCCCCTCACCATAATCAAGGGCTGGCAGGGGCACATGTTCCATTTGGACTGGCCTCGGACATCCAGAGAGTCAAGTTAAAAGCCCTTGTGGCAAGTTAAAAGCCCCGGGCTGGTGCTCCAGAAGTTTAATATCATAACCACACTTATGACGCTAGCATTTCCCTATTTCCCACCACCTTTGATGCCAGCTGACATTTCCTTTAATCTCCTCAGAAAAATACATGATGTCACCATTGCGGCTCTCTCAAAACAGCAAAGAAGCAAGCTCATTCCAAAATGGGCCAGCTTCATTATTACATAAGTCTTGACGCTTTGGGCAAATACCACATTTTCAAAAGTCTGGCTGAGACAGTGAATTAGTGGAAAAAAGCACTCAGCAGAGACACAGGGAATATTGGTTTCAATTTCAGCTCCACCACTAAATTTTTGGTTGAGTCATTCCACGGTGCTGGTCCTTATATTCTGCCTCTATAAAATGAGAGCATTATCTTGAAGGAGACGAGGAGTACCTTCTAGTTCCAAAATCACATGATCTCCTCAGGGGCCATCTCCAATAGTCTCCCTTCTCCCTGATATTCCCTTCAATGTCGATCCCCCCTGGTCACCCCGGCCACCGATGCAAATACTCGCCTTCCTCCTCATTCCCCAGTGTGGCCTTGCCACATAAAATGGTTTATCTCTAATGGTTTATCAACTTGAAACCATGGCTTGTATTTAAGCATTTGTTCAAACTACCTTGGGTCTGAACACGGACATGTTCACAGATACGTTTTACTCTTCCCATGAAGAGTGTTAGCCCCTCAGGGGAAAAGAGCATGAATTTCATATTCCTATAGATACCTAGCACAGTGCTGGGCACATCACGGGTACTCAATTAGGACTTTCCAGCCTTATCTGCAGAAGGAGGTACAAGAAAACTTGGGATTACTGTTATTCCACTGATGTCCTCCAAACTTTGGGTGACCAACTCGGCCACGAATCAGCTAGTATCCAAGTTTATCCTTTCTTGTTAAGGGATACCTTACAGCAAGGTTGGCTGGGATTGATTTACCTGATTACGGGCAGTGCTACCCTATAGCTCTGAATACTCCTGAATAAGGAAGTACCTGTTTTCAATAGGACTTTTTAAAGTGGCAGAGACTTTGTGAAGACATGGCACACCTTTTTGGATGTGCACTCCAGAAACATACAGATACCTCTCTACAGATGTGTAATGAGACTCACCAGCACCAGAGTGTAAGATGCTGCCTATTCAAACAATCTCCGCTGTCATCGAGTATACACAGGACTTCCACAGTCCAAGGGGTTCAGCCTGCAGACAGCTGCAGGGCAGAAGCAGCCCTGGAGTCTTTTATTTCAGTTCAAAAAAAAAGAGGATCTTAAAGTTGAGAAAACAAATCCGTAAGCAGAGGAGCCTCATGTGAAATCCATTAGCAAGAGAGCCTCATGTAGATGTTTGCATTTTTTTAAAACACCATCTGTGTCTCGAAGGGTCCCCAGAGTTTAAGGCGATTTTGAATCGGACGGTAACCGCCTACTTCCTCTCACAAATGAGCCTTGAGAGCTCATTCGGAGGGGGTTAGCAGGGCAGTGCAGTTCCTGGTTAGTTCATGGCCAAATAGGGTCTTCTCATATCTAAAAGGTCACGTCTCCGGTGGAAGGCACAGCTCTGTGAGGGATGGTGAGGAGGGAAGGCACACATCCTAGCCAGGCAAATCCAGTCAAATTAACGCAGTTTCAGCGGTATGGCAGCTGCGCAGCTGGCTTGCATCCCCATTTTGGGGGCAGGGGTGGGCATCAGGGAGGCTGAACACTATAGACTCCGAGGGGGCTGGCCACAGTCACCCTCTCAGACCAAGAGCTCCAGTGTCCTTTCTGGAAACAAGACCCTTTCAGTGCTATTTTATGTACAGAAAGAGTGATTATTTGAGGCCTGAATACAGAAACTGATACGACAGACCAAATAAAAGCTTAAAAAAAATGAAGACTTTGTTAATTTTATGTTTAAGAGTGTAAGGCAGTTGCACTGTATTTTCATTTAAAGTTTTTTTTAATGTTATTTTTTTTCCTGATAGTCCAAAATGACCTACTAAAAACCAATTCATAATTTATCTCCAAATATATTCACAAAAATGTGAACAGAGATGTATGTACAAGGATGTTAAGGGAGGCATTATTTTCAATACCAGGGAAATGGAACAAAACCGTGTATTCATTAATAGCAAACTGATGAAATCAGCCATGAAGCAGCCACACCACAGAATACCATGCAATAGCCAAAAGGAATGACATAATCCTGTATTTAGTGCATGAAAGATGCCTACAACATACTATGTTAAAAGCAAACTCCACACATAAGTGGTAGAACAGTATGTGCCATGATTCCATTTGGGAAAATAATTCTCTCTGCATATAAAGTACAAAGGGCTGTATGTACACAGGAAAGGTCTGGAAGGACATTCACGGAGCTAAACAGTGGCTGTCTCTGGAGGAAGGAGCAGGGTACTCTTGGAGAAGAGGGAGACTTTTAGTACAAGCATTTCCACCCTGTTAAATCTTTTTTTACAAGTATGGATTACTTTTTCAATTGGTCCTCAGGTGACCACACTGGATTAACATTACTACAACTGATCCATGCATGGCCCACTTTACACCAAGTCAGTTAACCACATATTTTTAATAAGAAAGCACTCTTGAACCCACAACCCAAAATAAAAGTTAGAACCTTGCCAACAACCTAGATCTAACTATCTGATACTCCCTGCCATCCATCGGCCCAAATCCCACATTCATGTTGACTTGTGTAATTAATAAATAAAACATGACAATAAATATGTGCAGTTAGTTTGTTTTCCTTTTAAATTCACTGCTCGTCAGTCAAACAGAAATACCACAAATGTAATTCTAAGCTTTTCTTTGCACATAGGGGAACCCATCTGCCATTTTTCCAGTGACGCAGTATTAATCACCCTGGTGGCCATAATGGGTATTGGCACTAACTTCCCACCAGGAAACTCCCCACGCCAAGAGAGAAACTTTTTGTTACAGATCATTTCCCTAAAAGCAAATAAATCAGTGGCTAACTCAAATCTGTCCTCACTCTGTAATTAAAAAAATTTCTAGTTGATCAGAGCAGGCTTTCCCTGTAGGTCAAATGTAGGCATTTAGTGATACCGGGTGATGATCTCTTTAATACACACGGTTTCTTATCCTCTTGCCAAATGAAGGAAGCTTTAATTACTACACTTTAAGAGGCAATGCATGATAGAAGAGTGCCAGTGGGCAAAGAGAGTATGAAATTAAGTCCACCTCTATAATATAATCTAAATTACTTGAAATCTTCCTTCTAGGTTGTCTTAGAGTGCCAATTTGTATGCCCTTTGATTCTACGAATTCTGAACCTCCATTTAAATTTAAATCCAACACTCCGCATTTGGGAAATACACTGCACTGTTATGTATGCTTTTCTAGTTTGAGTGAATGCCATAATTAATAAGGAAATGCTTTCCCAAGTATGATGTTTTTTAAAGTAATAGCTTGTCAACTCTTTGCAAGCAGGCCTGACCTACTCTAGTATCACGTACCATTTTACAAAAAGAAAATTCTCAAACTTAAGTCATGGAAGTCAGTAGTATCAGGAAGTTTCCTCTGGGTTTCCTAATATCTGCTTCTTCCAAATAAAAACTATAATTAAATGGATTCTCAGTTAATTAACACTAGCAGATAATCCAAAATGGCAAAGAAGCCAGAACCACTGGTATTTACAGCATATTTTTACACTTGAGTAAGACAGCATCTCTTGTTCCTGACTCGACTGCATGGAGCCTATCAAGGAGGACTGGCTCCCCTAGGGCCCCTCTCTGCCTTCACGTTCAACTCCCCCCACTCCCCAGCTGGTGCTGGATCCCACCATGGATAGAGTGCTACTGCTCTCGCTAAAAATGTTCTGTAGCTTCTAAGGCAAGAAAGAACTAAAAGTATTTTGACTTTCCTGCTGCTGGGCTGCAGACTCCACACAGAGAGGGTATATACTATCAAAAGGCCTTGTGCCTCCCAAGTTCAACTGTATCAGTGAGAAATGCAGCCAAGGTACCTGCAAGTAATAAAAACCAAACCTCGCCTTAGATGTGCTTGTAAGCTGGGGGGAGGTGCCTAGAGTGATGGCACAGCACCACTTACTCTTCCTTCCTGAGCAGCTCCTCCTCAGACTCGGTCAGGCGCTGCCTAAGCGCTGCAATCATCTCCACGGCCACATCCACCTGTCGGTTCAGGGCCCGCTCCCGCCTCTGCACCTCCTGCTTTTTCTGCGTCAGCTGCACAAAGGCTGCCCGAACTTCCAGCAGTTCGGCAGTTTTCTGGGCCAACTCTTTGGTGAGTTTATCGATTCTCTTCTCGATGGTCCTGTCCACGGCCTCGACCATCCGGTTGAATTTTTCTCTGACGTGAGCCTCGAAAGCAGCCTTGGTGTCCGAGGTGGGCAGGCCGGGACTGGCCCGTGGCCCCTCCAGTGAGTCCGCATGCAGGTCCACCGTGGTGTAGGTCTGCACGTAGGACACTGGCCGCTCTGCCACCACCTCGAATGGCTTCCTGTCCTTGGAGTGTTCGTGTGAAATGCTATACAAGTTAACATAGCTCGGTTTCTGCTTCACCACGTTGCCAGTGCTCTGCAATTTTCCCTGTTTCAGGGGTTCTGCGGAAGTGACTAGGTCTGTGTCTTTGAGGGATGGAAAGAGGCTGCATTTTGTCAAGAGGGTTCTTTCCTGGTAGCTGTGACTGAATTCCAGATGGGCCCTCAGCGAAGACAGGCTTCTAAATCTGGTATGGTCTCCACACCTCGGACAGCGGAATGGCAGGCACACAGCAACATTCTCAAAGGACTCCTGCCAGGGGTATCTGCTTTCCTCAAAAGCCTTCTGTTGCATTACTCTTCAAGTCCTGGGCAGGGCCAAATGAAACAGGTAGTTTACATGTCTGTTAAAAAAATGCCTACTGAAATGCCTGTTGCCACCCATGTCCATGAGGGCAGGAACTTTTGGCTTCAAATTACTTTTGCATATAGTATCTTATATTAAAATAAAAACCTGTGATCCGTGGGCCAAATCCAGCCACATTCACTCATTTCTGTATTGTCTAATGCTGCTTTTGCACTAAAGACAAAGGTGAGTGAGGCATTGAGACAGAGACTATTTTGGTAAAGCCAAAATTACTACTTGACCTTTACAAAAAAAGTTTGCCAACTCCACCCAGGATTAAAAAAAAAAAAAAAGGAAAAAAAAGGTGGGTAGCATTCTCTTTTAGCAGATATGAAAACTGAAGCAAAGAGGTAAAGTAATTAATTCAAAGCCAGATGGTAAATGACAGATCCAGAAGTGGAATTCAAGTTTCCTGCCCTCCTGAATTTAGTACCGCTAACTGCAAACCTGTGCCCTATTTTATGGATACAATCCTGATAAGCATGAATTCCAAACGTGAGGAAAACTCACATGAGTTGTCAACATTTGTCCTGAGAATACAAGTTCAGCGATCTTTCTTCAAGCATAGGAAAAATATCACTCAAGCTAGACGTAGTGGCATTAAGCACACAATGAGCTGGAAATTTTTCAACCTGAGATTTCGCCTTTAGTTATTGTTGTGATGACATAAACCAAAATGTTATCATTGTCCCCCATATTCCAGATTTACTGACATTTGGGAACTCAAGATATCAGCTATGTTTTGATCCAAGTGGGGCCATGGCCGTGGCCAAGCCTTTATAAAAATACCATGCGCTCAATGGATTTTTCTCTGTGATCCTGTTTTCATAGGATAACCTCTAGAGATGACCAATGTTTGAACCATGCAGGTATCAGCGTAACTCTTTAGTGAGTTCTTGTTTCGTTGAAGGAATTTATTATCTTAGCCCTAGCAACAGATGACTGGTAGCAACCCTACTCTGCAAACAGGGCACACATAATTCCCTTCAGGAGTGGTTTCTGCTTAAATGTAACAAGCATTGGGCCCCCAAGAGAGGAAGCTCAGCTAAGGGTCAACACTGTAAAGTGTTGTTATTGGGCCCTCAACCTCCTCAAAAGCAGAGGCGCAAATGGTCCCCAGCCAGCTAGGCAAAGCCTCCAGGTTAATAAGCCTCTGGCCCCCTAGAGAGAGGAACCTCTTTCTGTGCTACACCTGGCTGTTTAACGACCAGTTTTGTGGACACAGGATGCACAGCCTGGACCAAAAGGCCCAGGAAAGGGAAGTCTGGATTCCAGGTGGCAATGGGAAAGGGGTGGCATCCCTGAATGGGGAACCGGGTTATCACGCGCTCTGGGAGTACTCCTGCTTTCAAGGGCCCAGCGGGAACCCCAGTCCACAGGGTTGGCCGAAAAGCCCCAATTTCCTCTGCCTGAGCCGGGCAGCTGGCAAAGGCGCTGCACGGAGGGTCCCGGCTCCCCCCGCCCCCGCTCCGCCGCGGGCCGGCCCCAGGCGCCAGAGTGGATACATGCGCGCACGAGTTTCCGCAAGTGGGGGCCGCGCGCCCAACTCCCGGCCGCGTGGAGGCGACAGGCCCCCTCCCCAGCCCGGGACGGTTCCGCCGGCCCCCTCCGCCGCGCCCCGCGGGCCGGGCCGCAGGCGCAGCCCAGCTGCGGCCACTTACCCGACTTGTTGCTGCAGCTGCAGCCGCTGCTGCTGCCGCCGCGGCCGGTGCTGCTGCTGCGGGAGCGAAGCGGTTTTCAGCAGAGCCGTAAATCAGGCTGAGCCGGGGCCCGCTCCCACCCCCCGCGCACCCCCGCGCCGGGACCAGCGGCGTCCAGGGCGGAGCGTGGCGCGGGCCGGCGGGGGCGGCGCGCGCGGCTGCCGGGGACCCCGGGGCGGGGGGGGGGTGG